TAACGATGAAAGAGATAGCATCACTGGAGGCACCGATTGAGTCGGTCTCCGCGTGTATGGGGGGTGGGACAAAGGAGCTGTCTAAGGCAGGTTGAGCTGGGCTGGGGGCTCTACAGTGAAATAGTATAATAAGAAATAACCGAAACAGCAATAAGCAAGGCATATTGACATGGGAGAGATGCATAAAGCAATCACAGGTGTTATTCGAGAGAGCTAAGACAACAGCTGGTAATGGCGACAAAGTTTGGGCTTAGGCTAAACATAAACAGGATGCGGTACCGTATAAAGGAACAGTCCAGCAGGCATCAGCTGTATAGCTGAGTTATCATAAGGTCCGGTGAACAGCAATAGGATAGTTCGGAGGTAGTTCGGGGGCTGCTACAGCACTGGCGAGCAAGAGGCCCGGCTTGCGTGTGCTAGCGGGCCGGGGCTAGCAGATGGATCTTCGTGGTCGACGTCGTAACGGGAAGCGTGTTGAAACCACATCAGACGATTTCATCGACAAACCAATCGTGTTGGATCGGCGGGGCTCCGTGTCAACACTAGGAGGTCCCGTCCGGTTGACAGAGAGGTAGATAGCCGGGAGATGGGCCTGGCTCGAGGCTAGCTCAAGGCTAACTGGTGCTTGCTAAGGTAATCCAGAGAGGTTAGAAAAAGTATTTAGATAGTCTATGAGGCTGTGGAGGGATACAAATTGTGGATTTAAAAGAAAACATGAATTATCAGCGTACAATGACACCTTTGTTTCTAAGCCCTGGATTTCTAGCCCCTTGATATTATTGTTTGGATCTGATTTGAATAGCTAACACTTCGATGGCCATAATAGATAGATTTGCGAATAGTGGACAACCTTGTTTTACTCCTCTTGACAGTTTATAACTTTATGAGAAGTAGCCATTATTTACTATTTTACACCTAGGGTTACTATACATAACTTTAACCAATTGTATAAGAGATTCTCCCAAATTGAAATATTCCAAGCATTTATATATCAATTCCAGTCGTACTTTATCAACAGCTATGAATACCAGACCTTGTTTCCCAGATTTTTCATAGTGTATTATTGTTTCCAGTACTTGTCTTATATTATCTCCAATGTATCGTCCATGTAAAAAATACTATCTGATTAGGATGAATAATATCCGACAATACCTTTTTAATTGTAAGCGCTATGCACTTTGCTTGAATTTTTGCATCACAACACTGAAGTGTAAGGGGCCTCCAATTTTTTAAAGGGACTGGATCTTTATATTTACCACTTGTGTCCTGTTTCAATAATAATGAAATCAGACCTTCTTGTTGACTATCTGATAATCTACCATTTTTATAGGAGTGGTTAAAACATGCAAATAACGGTCCTCTGAGTACATCAAAAAAGGTTTGGTGCACCTCAACTGGTATGCCATCCAGCCCCCGAGTTTTCCCGAACTTAAAGGCTTTAATTGCATCAAGAAGTTCCTCTTCTGTAATTTGGCCTTCACATTAGTATTTCTGTACAGCTGTTAATTTTTTTCATTATTAATAGGAAAATAATCCTTACAACAGTGCTTAATTTGTAAATCGGGAGGTGCCGGAACAAAAAGTGAGCGCGAGAGGGGGGTGAGGGAGTTCAGAGGTACCCCAAAAAATCCCCTTTATAATAAAGCATGGCATGCATATGATTCCATTAGCGTAATGCCATAGAGCAGTAGAGTAGAGGCACTTACAGAAGTTGCACACATGGGGTCCGGGAAAAATGTGGCTTTTTATAAATGCATTTCATGCAATTCTACGTCATTTGGCAGAATCTTTGGCAGAATATTTTTTTATACCGCACAAATGATCGAAATGGCAGGCTACTTTGACACTGACAAACGGAGAATTTGAGATCAATTAAAATGACCTCATCATGAATCCATCAATAGCCTAGGCCTAGGTGTGTGGAGACTCATATTGTAGACTGCAATATGAGGAGGAAATGATAGTCCTAAAAATGCTTTCCAGTTTCACTGACCTACCCAATGATGCGCAGCTCACTCGCCAAAAGCTTATCTCTCTCTTGTTTTACTTTTTTAAACAATATTTGAAAGTTGATCAAATATTTTGGTAGCCTAAAGCATAGTCTTCTCTTTTCAGCAGTAGCCATTTGCTTTCCAACCTGTGTTTTCCCTCGATTGCATTTTAAATATTGCGAAAGTCCTGTTTTGTCTGCATGCTGTTTGTTAACTGACAGATTTACCGCGCGTTCCGGACTGTAGCCTATTCAATTACATTTACATTTCAGTCATTTAGCAGACGCTCTTATCCAGAGCGACTAACATACATTATTATAATATTTTTTTTATACTGGCCCCACATAGGAATTGAACCCACAACCCTGGCGTTGCAAACGCCATCCTCTACCAACTGAGCTACATCCCTGCCGGCCATTCCCTCCCCTACCCTGGACGACGCTGTGCCAATTGTGCGCCTCCCCATGGGTCTCCCGGTCACGGCCAGCTACGACAGAGCCTGGATTCGAACCAGGATCTCTAGTGGCACAGCTAGCTATCCTTGTTATTGGGCTACAATCCACAGCTACGCAGTTTTTAAAAGAAGCTATTTATCCTCTGTGGCTAAATGATAGGCCTTCTCATGGTGTAGTAGGCTATTCTGAAGGATTTCATTACTTTCTGAACAGACAGCAGTAATTCTATAACTTTGGCAAATGTATTTCAATTTATTAGGGGTGCTGCAGTTCCTTGATTCTATGATTCTATAAGGAAATAAATGATGTGCAACGCTGGAGAGATGAGAGTTGCAGGCTCATGTCTATCAGAGCAGAGAGGGAGAGATCATAGAATGTGAATCTCATTCTAGTTATGTAAGAGATACAGGCGCGCCTCTCACACAACCACCGCCACCGGTTGGTCTCACACATAGGCCTACAGCAGGTTACAATGTTGCGCAAACCATATTTGGCCCAACCCGAATCAACTCGTTGAAAATTAGGCCTGTGCGGAAAATCTACTTTTTAACATTACGTTTTTTTGTGGGGGCAGGAGAATTAATGAAGAGTCAACTCGAATGAACTTTAATCGCTTTAACTATAATTTTTACATTACAAAAAGTGACAATTATTTTTCATGCCACGAGAGTTACCGGATCTGGCCAAATAGGTTCCCAAACAAAACAGTCCAAAACCGAGAGCACTGATTTAACACTTTTATAAGCTATAAAACGCCCTCACCATATCCACTCGCGCTACAAAGTGTATCGATTGACCTGGGTTGTTATTGTTAGCAGCTTGTGTCTATTTAATATCGAGGAATATTTCACGTTCTCTGGTCAGACGAGTAACAACATGAATCGGTGCTTGAGTCAGAAATAATGAAGTGCGAATCGAGTTTTGCCATCAGCTCAAAGACAGTGTCCCCTTTTTGGTCAATCAGCAGCACTCAGCTGAGCTCTCTCTCTCTCTCTCTCTCTCTCTCTCTCTCTCTCTCTCTCTCTCTCTCTCTCTCTCTCTCTCTCTCTCTCTCTCTCTCTACTGAGACTAACCAACAGATGCAGGCACCATCAGTCCAGTAAAGAAAACAATTATCTATTACCAGTGTGATCATATACAATGCCTTCGGAAAGTATCCAGACCCCTTGACTTTTTTCACATTTTGATAGGTTCCAGCCTTATTCTAAAATTCCTCATCAATACCCCATAATGACAAAGCAAAAACAGATTTTTAGAAATATTTGCTAATTTATCATTTAAAATGATCAATTGAAACAGCATGCACCTGAGCTCAATTTCGAGTCTCATAGAAAAATGTCTGAATACTTATGTAAATAAGGTATTTCCGGTTTTAATTTTTTAATACATGTGCAAAAATGTTACTAATTTATGCCACCTGGGCCCACCGGTGTAAGTGCTAAACTGCTTACTGACTGTACACTGTAACGTTACTGTATGATTGTAGCGGGTTTACTAACACGTTAGTTCTATTAGCTATGTTGACTATGACGTTACTTTAGCCAATATGTTAAAAACAATGTAGGCTGTGTGGCGGTTATGATATGGTTTGGCTGGGAAAAGTTTTTTTTCGCCTGGTCACATACAGCTGATGTGTTGTGCATTGAAGTCCACAAGCGAAGGGAAAAGGTGACAGGAGGAGAGCGCATAGATGCAAGAAGGAATACAAGTGGCTTCTATGAAAGTGAACTGTGTTTACGCGTGATCAGGAGCGATTCTGTTGAAAAATGTTTCTTAAATGCAAGCAAATGGAACGTAACGGGGGATAAACATACCTCAATTTGTCCAGTAGAAACTATTGTTTGCAACTGTTAGACTAATGATTACACCCTAGATCAGCTAGATGCAGGCAAGAGTGTGCAAGGTGGTATTGAATGTGTCACTGTCTGTCACCTAAAAAATGTATCTCGACCTGTGTGCATCTACGTTGTAAACTTTCATTCATAGGCTAGGTTGTAGCAACCTCATGATGGGGATAGGGAAAATGTGATTATCATGTAGTAGCCTAAACCTATCACTGTTACATTGAACTGGGTGAATGGAATATGAATGACAGTCATCCAATATGCTGTAATAGAAATAAGGCCATGCTCATAACAAATAATTATTGTCCTCCCACACTTTAAATGGCACCGAACGCCACTGCATATATTATCTATGTAGTGACATAATGCTAATGGCCGTTGTACTGTTACAAGTACCCTCAATGGCAATGGGCGTGGTGTGTAGTGGGCACAGCGTGTAGTGGTCACGGCGTGTAGTTACTGCAGTCCGAAGATAGATATTATTGGACAGATCAGTGCAGGCGGAATCAACGTGCTGTCTGACGTAGACAATGATTGTTACCCATGACTCAGAGGCTTCAGTCTGCTAAGGTTGAAGGGAACGCTTAAGGAAGAATGCACACACACACACACACACACACACGCTCCTCTAGCCAGGGTTATATTGGTGGCCCTCCAGGGGAATGGCGTTGTTTGTGCTGGTGCCTGGTACATAAGGTGAAAGGTGAAAGATGCTGCTGTCGTGTGAAATGTGGCTTTCCTTGCTGACTGTTCACCTCTGTGCCACTCTGATTAAGTGTCCAACTCTCTATCCAAATTCCAGGTTAATGACTTCCTCTCTATTCCACCCCAAGTGTCTCTTCTGCTCATCTCTCGCTGTCTCTCTCCCAGGACCTGAAAAGGGGAGATGTGTAGCATCAGAATACTTCACCACTGAAGCTGAGATAGATATCGTGACCGAAAACACTGCAAATATACTAAGTAAGTGATGATATCTGACAACAGCGAGAAACATGCAGTAAAATAACCCCTGCATGTCATTGTGTCATTGCTTTATGCACCTAATGGCTCTACCCAGGAAACATGAGGCAAAATAGTTCCCAAACCTCTTTTATTTAAAACCTGTGTTGAACACTGCTGAAGTTCCCTTTTCTTTATTTAACAACTATTTGAATTATTCAAGATATGAAAACTTGGAAAACCTTATAAACCGTAGAACAGTGTGGCCCAAAAGTGGACTGTATAGACCACAATGGGATCTGACACACTAGGACAAAGGACATTACCTTTACTACATTATATTGTTTTGTACAGCAGGCTGCAGGCATAACAACCTGTAGGGAATGATAAACTGATGCAGGAAATGTGCTCTTGGGAATGAATGTTACTTAATCATTATTTTATATGATTTCCTTTCTTCATGATTGACAAGTAAAACAATTGAGTTAGAATGGTGTATAACGTAACATAAAGCATTTATTGATGTGCAAAATTGCTCCCAACCCCAATTCAACCTCTGTAACTACTTCATAAATACTTTATAGTCATGTAAGAAAGGAAGTGAAGCAGATAATTCAAGACTTTCATTTATTTAAATTTTTTATTTAACCTTTCTTTATGTTACAAGGCAGGTTAATTAAAAGCAAATTATTATTTACAATGACGGTCTGGCAAGAGGCTAAAGGCCTCCTGTGGGGCACGGGGAGGGGATTAAAAGTGTAGGACAAGACAGACAACATACACTGAAGACACTTGGCAACAGCACAGCTACATCAGCAGACAGACAGTGGAAACAAAGCACACCATACTACATGATGAGAGACCTATGAAAACAACACAACATGGCACAAACATTGTTAAGCCAGACAACAGCACGAGGCTAAAAATAGGCAGAGACAAAGCACATCACAACAATCGGGACATCACAACACGACATGATAGGAGATCTATGGCAACAGCGCAAAACATTGTAGGAACAGGTAACAGCACGAGGGACAAAGTAGGCAGAAAGTTATAACAGACAAATGGGTAGCAAAGTATACCAGGATAACCCAGTTAGAAGAAAAAGACAAAGTGGCAGACTACAATACAAGTAACATAGCCCTACTGAATAGACAAATAGACAAGGTAACAAACAATTGCAGCGCAAACAGACATAAAAAAGACACGTAGCCTTAGTTATTGTTTTGCATAACAGCTACAATATCACAGTTACAAATCATTCATACACTTACTGTATATAACAGTTTAGACCATTCATCTTTTGTTCCTCCGTGTGTTACATACAGTGCATGCATTTATTTATTAACGTAATTGTTTATAAATAGAGGACACGTGTAACGAAAGCTTTTTCCACTGAACGCTTCTTAATTTTTATTATCCCAGTGGGACACTGAAACTTTTGATTAAAACGATGTAAGAAATGTTGAATATTTTTACTATGTTTCATATTTTGTATATTTCATACATTTTTTAGTGTTGAACTTAACTCTCCCTCCTTATCTCAATATGTTTTTCCATCTTCTGTCTTTCTCTTGACCTGTTTCCTTCACCAGAGATGGTACGGACGGCCACACCGTTCCCCATGGTTTCGCTGCTTTTCGTCTTCACCGCCTTCGTCATCAGTAACATCGGACACATCCGGCCCCAGCGCACCATCCTGGCCTTCATCTCTGGAATCTTCTTCATCCTCTCAGGTAAGGAGCCACATAAAAGTTTCCCATTGGCTGTTGTTTTAATGATGTTCAGTATTAAAGATACTTATTGGTTGATGAAAGCTGCCAATGGTATGTAAAGTAGGTTCTGTGCGATCTGGGTCTGGAAACCTCCTGATTGGTTTTTGATTTAGTGGCTTGGCTAACAGTTTATCCTGATTATCAGTTGTCTATAAGACGACATTCTATTTGGGAGTATTGCATATCTTGCTCACAGATGCTAGCCTAGCATGAGATGCTGCTGACAGAGCAGTTATGTGCCCATATTGTCCTTATTACATGTCACCTGACCCGCAGCAGTGAACGATTGCACTATTTCAGGTGAAAATTGAATATGTAATGCTTTTCTAGTAGTTAACTCGATGAAAGGTATTTTCTGTTTATTATTTTCTACTGAGCCATTTACTTTATGTTCGTATTCTTATATTTTCTTATTTCTTATTGTTGTTGCATTGTCGAGAAGAAACCTGCAAGTAAGCCTTTCGTTGTACGGTGTATACCTTTTGTGTATCCTGTACATACGAATAATACAACTTGAAACTTGCTGGGCTGTGAGTTGAGAAAAAAAAGAAAGAAAGAAATCTTTAAATATTGTAAAACCACGACAGCATCAGATAATAGGTGTCAAAAACGACTTGAGAAATCGACCGGACTTGAGAAAATAATTAGTTTGTTGTTATTATTTACTCTGTTATTCTGAAGCCATTTTAACAAACTGACAGCTCTATAGTTGCTCTGCATGACATTATTCTCAATGTCTTTGTCCTATAAAAAATGTGGTTGCCATGGAATTTAATTTCGTTATCATTTCACAACACAAAAGACATAACAATTCCTCGCAAACAAAATGTTTTCACACCCTGATTCAGGATCAGCTCTCCATACACCTTCTCCTAACCCAAACCATTCTGATAAAACAGAATGGACGACGCTTCAAACTGGCTCCGGTGCAGCCTGCCTTTCTTCAGAGAGGGACAGTGTTTTCTAGCACGCCCACGCAGAACGGCTGACTGCTGCTGAGAGGGAGGCAGGCGAGGCGAGGAGCTAACAGCAGCTAGCCACACAGCTCCCCCTGCTGACCCAGTAAGGGGATGTCAGGTCACTGGTTCCCAGGAGCTTCGGTCGCTGCTGCTGCTGCAGTTATTGCTGCCTGCTCGAGCCTGCTGCCTGAATCTCCTGCTGCTGTTGTTGTTGTGGTGCTGGTCAGGGCTGATTATGCAGTGGGGCTGCTGTGCTGGTTAATGGTGGAGGAGGATTTTAGGGTCAGAGACAGCAGCAGCCGAGGCTGGCTGGGGAAAAGCACTGACACATCCTTTAATTAGGTTTTCTTTCTCTTCCACCACTGCTCTTGTATGTTGTCCTTCTTTATCGCAGATTCACAGGCAGTGGTTGGAATTTGGTTTCCATTTAGAAAGTATAATGAGGCTCATTTATTCCAAATAATGAATAGTGAAAATGTGGTTCAAGAGGAAGTTTTGAGGACCTTATTCAGTTATTTTATTGTTGTTTTTTAATGTGTCAGGGGAAATGTGCTCAAATGTTTGGCCATACGAGCTCTTTTCCGTGTGAAGGCAGAAACATATAGCAACAATGGTGGCTTTTGGAAGGCGAACTGAGAAAACGATTGAGATACTATGATTATTTGCAGTGGTGACACTAATTTAGCTAGTCTAGTGTAATACAGCTGTGGTAGTAGTAGTAGTAGCAATGGTTGGGCATTTGCAGTGTATCATAATCACGTTTTTACTGTGTATAATTTATGATTCTTGTTTTCATAAAATAATGTTCTAATAAAAGAACTACAACAATGGGTTGTCCCCAAGGCTGCTGTCTGTCTCCTATGCCCTTTGAGTAGACTACTGAGTTTGGCACTAGAAATATGATGGTGTTTTTGATCCCATTCCAGCGGTGTGACTATAGGCCACATACTGTCCCACTTTTCGGCTGTCTCACCCTTTATGTCAAGGGGGATCTATTTGGATGCCAAGGCAACAAGCAGTCAGAGATGTACTCATATATATATATATTTTTTTACTATGTCTCTCCACCTCTCTCCCTCTATCTTGCTCACTGTGTATCCTCCTGTCTCCAAATCTCTCTCTCGCTCTCCCTACCACCCACCCTCTCCTTCATGTTCACACTCTGACCCATTCCCCCACCCACTCTCGCCCCTGGCGTTTGTCCCTTCCCTTCCTCTCTCTTTCCTCTACCCTTCTCTCCCTCTCTCATTCTAATTTATGATACCCTTCCTCTCTCGCTCACTGTTTCATATAATCTTCTCAACACTGTGCACTCCCTCTCTCCCCCTCTCCATTCTCTCTCTCCTTTTCCTCTCTCACCCTCCACTGGCTCACCTCTTCTCCCCTCCTCCTTTCTCTCCCCTCCTCTCTCCCTCTCTCCATTCCATCTCTCTCTCTTTCATCTACTCCTTCCCATGTCTTTCTCTGCCTCTCCATTGCCTCTCTCTCCCCCTTTCCCTCCCTCTCTTTTTCACTCCATCCCCTCCTCTCCCCCTTCTCAGGGCTCAGCCTGGTGGTGGGCCTGGTCCTCTACATCAGCAGCATCAACGACGAGGTGATGAACCGGCCGCGTGAGCCAGAGCACTTCTTCCACTACCACTACGGCTGGTCCTTCGCCTTCGCTGCCAGCTCCTTCCTCCTCAAAGAGGTCAGCACACCCGTCCGCCTGCTAGTGTAGTGCCCGACCGCTAACTGCTAACCTCTGCTAACTGATAACCAACATCTAGCCTAGTGCTTCACTGTTAGGACCCCCCCCCCCCCCCCCCCCCCCCCCCCCCAGCTCACATCAATATTCATAAATGTTAATAGCGCACTCTTTAGGGCGACAGCTCTGTCACAGCGGCAGCTTAAAATGCTGCTGTTGTCACATGAATATATAGTTCGCTAGAGGGCTTTTCTTTTTCTCCAGACCCTCTGCAGCGGCAGGACGAAGAGGAGGGGGAATAGCGCTTAGCACAAGCGTTGACATGCTCAAGTTTCAAGGATGTTGTACTAAGATGTCGGTGATGAATAGTGGATGAGGTGTAAATGTTTGTGCGGATGTTTGGCGCAACATGAATGCAGTTTTGATAATGAGTTATTACACGGAGGAGCGGTTTGGTTGAGTCTGAGCACTGTAAACAACAGCTGGTGCATAAAATCTAATACTAAGGAAGTCTCGAGGTTTTGCTCGCCGGAGGTAGAGTATCTCATGATAAACTGTAGACCACAATATTTACCAAGAGAGTTTTCATCTATATTTTTCGTAGCTGTCTATCTACCTCCACAAACCGATGCTGGCACTAAGATTGCACTCAATGAGCTGTATAAGGCCATAAATAAACAGGAAAACGCTCATCCAGAGGCAGCGCTCCTAGTGGCCGGGGACTTTCATTCATGGAAACTTAAATCCGTTTTACCTCATTTCTACCAGCATGTTAAATGTGCAACCAGAGGGAAAAAAACTGTAGACCACCTTTACTCCACACACAGAGACGTATACAAAGCTCTCCCTCGCCCTCCATTTGGCAAATCTGACCATAACTCTATCCTCCTGATTCCTGCTTATAAGCAAAAACTAAAGCAGGAAGCACCAGTGACTCGGTTAATAAGAAAGTGGTCAGATGACGCAGATGCTAAGCTACAGGACTGTTTTGCTAGCACAGACTGGAATATGTTCCGGGATTCTTCTGATAGCATTGAGGAGTACACCACATCAGTCACTGGCTTCATCAATAAGTGCATCGATGACGTCGTCCCCACAGTGACCGTACGTACATACCCCAACCAGAAGCCATGGATTACAGGCAATATCCGCACTGAGCTAAAGGGTAGAGCTGCCGCTTTCAAGGAGCGGGACTCTAACACGGACGCTTATAAGAAATTCTGCTATGCCCTCCGACGAACCATCAAACAGGCAAAGAGTCAATACAGGACTAAGATTGAATCGTACTACACCGGCTCTGATGCTCGTCGGATGTGGCAGGGCTTGAAAACTATTACAGACTATAAAGGGAAGCACAGCCCTGAGCTGCCCAGTGACACAAGCCTACCAGACGAGCTAAATCACTTCTATGCTCGCTTCGAGGCAAGCAACACTGAAGCATGCATGAGAGCATCAGCTGTTCCGGATGATTATGTGATAATGCTCTCCGTAGCCGATGTGAGTAAGACTTTTAAGCAGGTCAACATTCACAAGGCCGCAGGGCTTGATGGATTACCAGGATGTGTACTCTGAGCATGCGCTGACCAACTGGCAAGTGTCTTCACTGACATTTTCAACATGTCCCTGACTGAGTCTGTAATACCAACATGTTTCAAGCAGACAACCATAGTCCATGTGCCCAAGGACACTAAGGTAACCTGCCTAAATGACTACCGACCCGTAGCACTCACGTCTGTAGCCATGAAGTGCTTTGAAAGGCTGGTCATGGCTCACATCAACACCATTATCCCAAAAACCCTAGACCCACTCCAATTTGTATACCGCCCCAACAGATCCACAGATGATGCAATCTCTATTGCACTCCACACTGCCCTTTCCCACCTGAACAAGAGGAACACCTACGTGAGAATGCTATTCATTGACTACAGCTCAGCATTCAACACCATAGTGCCCTCAAAGCTCATCACTAAGCTAAGGACCCTGGGACTAAACACCTCCCTCTGCAACTGGATCCTGGACTTCCTGACGGGCTGCCCCCAGGTGGTAAGGGTAGGTAACAACACATCTGCCACACTGATCCTCAACACGGGGGCCCCTCAGGGGTGCGTGCTCAGTCCCCTCCTGTACTCCCTGTTTACCCATGACTGCATGGCCAGGCACGACTCCAACACCATCATTAAGTTTACCAACGACACAACAGTGGTAGGCCTGATCACCGACAACGATGAGACAGCCAATAGGGAGGAGGTCAGCGACCTGGCCGTGTGGTGCCAGGATAACAACCTCTCCCTCAACATGATCAAGACAAAGGAGATGATTGTGGACTACAGGAAAAAAAGAGGACTGAGCACGCCCCCATTCTCATCGACGGGGCTGTAGTGGAACAGGTTGAGAGCTTCAAGTTCCTTGATGTCCACATCACCAACAAACTATCATGGTCCAAACACACCAAGACAGTCGTGAAGAGGGCACGACAAAGCCTATTCCCCCTCAGCAGACTGAAAAGATTTGGCATGGGTCCTCAGATCCTCAAAAAGTTCTACAGCTGCACCATCGAGAGCATCCTGACTGGTTGCATCACCGCCTGGTATGGCAACTGCTCGGCCTCCGACCGCAAGGCACTACAGAGGGTAGTGCGTACGGCCCAGTACATAACTGGGGCCAAGCTTCCTGCCATCCAGGACCTCTATACCAGGCGGTGTCAGAGGAAGGCCCAAAAATTGTCAAGGACTCCAGCCACCCTAGTCATAGACTGTTCTCTCTGCTACCGCACGGCAAGCGGTACCAGAGCGCCAAGTCTAGGTCCAAAAGGCCTCTCAACAGCTTCTACCCCCAAGCCATAAGACTCCTGAACAGCTAATCATGGCTATTGGACTATTTGCACTGCCCCCCCCACCCCACCCCATCCCCCTCTTTTACGCTGCTGCTACTCTGTTTATTATTTATGCATAGTCACTTTAACTCTACCCACATGTACATATTACCTCAATCACCTCGACTAGCCGGTGCCCCCGCACATTGACTCTGTACTGGTACCCCCCTGTATATAGCCTCCCCAACTGTTATTTTATTTTACTGCTGCTCTTTAGTTATTTGCTTAAATTTTTTTTACTTAACGCTTTTTTTTATTTAACTTTTTCTTTAAAAAACTGCATTGTTGGTTAAGGGCTTGTAAGTAAGCATTTCACTGTAATGTCTACACCTGTTGTATTCGGCGCATGTGGCAAATAACATTTGATTGGATTTGATTTGTTATGTCTTCAGTGCATTGCAGGGTATCTTGCTAAGACGCTAAGAGGTTTGTGCATCATATAAACGTATTCCACAGTTGAAAATAACGTATGCATGTAATATTATTAAAATGTTAAATATTTTATATTGATTCAATTATTTTTTATAGATCTTTCAGGATGCTATATTACATCCTGTTGTATTGAGGGGTATTGTGCTTTATTAAAGGCCAGTGCAGTCAAAAATGAGATTTTCCTGTGTATTATATATATTTCCACACTATGAGGTTGGAATAATACTGTGAAATTGTGAAAATTATTACAATGCCCTTTTAGTGTAAGAGCTGTTTGAAAAGACCGCCTGAAATTTCAGCCTGTTTGGGTGGGATGGAGTTTTGGCCTGCCTGGTGACATCACCAGGCGATAAATTAGTTAATATACCAATAAGAAAGAGCATTGTTTTCAGCTTTCCCCTCCCCACTCAGACCACTCCCAGACAGTCTTAGCAAAATTCTTGCTTGAGAAATGGCTCTTTGCTAAGAAGCAATTTTTCTTTCTTTTTGACAATTTTAATTTAAAACAATCACGGTAAGGTACTTAATTGTTACCCAGAAATGATTTGATATTGAGATAAAAACGGATGCATTGGACTTTTAAATGTTCCAGTATTTATTGTATTTCATGGCCCAGTACTGTATGTCATTTATTTATAATATTATTTATTTTTAGTTAGGCTTCTTTTTGCTGTGGCTCATAGTGTGCCTGATGTATGTATGATGGCCCAATGTGTCACTTATGACTTCATTATGATGGTGTTTCAGTGTTTCATGTCATGTATTAATATGAGTCATGGTATCTCATAGTGTGCTTGCTCTGCTCTCTCCCAGGGGGCCGGGGTGATGTCAGTGTACCTCTTCATGAAGCGCTACGCCGAGGAGGAGATGTACCGGCCCCACCCATCCCTCTACCGCCCCCGCCTGTCTGAGTGCAGCGACTACAGCGGCCAGTACCTTCACCCCGAGTCGTGGCCTCCTCCGAAGCGGGGCCGCAGCGCGTCTGAAGTATCCAGCGACATCTCCATCCAGCTGAACCAGACGCCCCCGCCCCCGCCGCCCAAGGGCAGCTCCCTGCAGCAGCAGGCCCCGTCCTCTGGCCCTTCCTCGGGCGCCAGCTACCAGCAGTCCTCCTCCTCCTCCTCCTACCCCCACCACACCATGTCCTCCCACCCCCTCCACTCCAGCCACCACACCATGTCCTCCCACCCCAGTGGGCCCCCTCCCCAGTGCATGCCCATGGCCATGCCACCCTCTGCCCAGCCCCCTCCCCGCTACCACCAACACATGCGCATGAGCGCCTCACCATGCTAGAAGGGGGGAGTGAGGGATGAGGGAGGGAGGGGAGGGGGTATAGACAGAGCAGGGCTTGGCTCTGTCATACGTCCAACACACAGAGACAGATGCAAACACACTCACACACACGTACACACACAAACACACAGATACACGCATGAAGTGTCGGAGGAGAGATGGAAGAGGGGATGAAGGAAGGAGATTTAGGAGAAAAAGAAGGGAATGAACGAGGGAAAGAAAACGAGGTGGGTGGAGGATGACTCATAATTAATGCTGTGCCTAAGATGAAGACAGACATTTTAAACGAGGGAGGGAGAGAGGGAGGGAGAGAGGGAGGGATATGATAATTATTTACACAATAAGAAAAAGAGGGAGGAGAAGAGGTGAGTCGGTCTATGAGAAAAGGTGCTGCTGTTTCAGAAGAAAAAGAATACGATGCATTTCAAGCACTAACACACACAAGAATCAAGAACAAATTGTATATGCATAGAGATTTATACTTAAACTGTATAGACATTTTTCTTTCTCTAAGTCCTGGAAAAACAAATGTTGAAATCTTAACCATGTTTGTCTTTCATGAGATGTGTATTCCTGTATGATTAGTTCTATAATTGTTTTTATTGTTCGTATTTGAGAGGCAAGCGTTGTGGGTACGAGGACAGAAATCGGAGACTTCTGAAGATCATTCAAGAGGGTTCTGTGACTGTACATACTGTAACATCTCAGATTCCCCTCTGCAGTAGCATTCTTGTACTACCGGTACACTCTTAGAAAAAAGGGTTCCTAAATGGTTCTTCGGCTGTCCCCATAGGAGAACCCTTTTTGCTTCCAGGTAGAACCCTTTTTGGTTCCAGGTAGAACTATTTTTGGTTCCATGTAGAACCCTCTGTGAAAAGGGCTCTACATGGATTTTAAAAGGGTTCTACCTGGAACCAAAAAGGTTCTACCTGGAACCAAAAAGGGTTCTTCAAATGTTTCTCCTATGGGGACTGCCGAAAACCCCTTTTAGGTTCTAGATAGCACTTTTTTTTTGAGAGTGTATAAATGTCCAGGTCATAGGCTTCAGCATCCATTTTGGAATCCATAAAAAACACTTGAATTGTTGTTTTATGTTTTTGACTAAAATGTTATGATAACAAAGAAAATCCATAACTTTCCATCATTTATAAATATTTACGACTGAGAATATAAAAAAGCACCCATTTTACTACCAAAAATGAGAGCATATTTGCAGATTCCATGAGACATATGATCCTCCTTTGATTGCTAATTAGCTTGAGTGTTCATATTCTGTAGCACATGGCTGCTTACCAGTAGAGTATCTTTCTTCTCTTTATAGTTACCAAAAGAGCTTCCCATATAGCAATGGAGTAGATTGATTAAGTAAAGACTGTGTTTGTTTTGAAATGTTGACTTCTCCTTCTGACTGTGACTGGGTGTATATAATACATGTTGCCTATGCAGCCTACCCACTCTGCACTACATGTTTACATTCTATTCTAATGTTTATTGGTATCCTTATACTAAATGCAACACACATGCACACACACACACAAACCAGCTGCAACAGTCCTGCTATAACTACAATTACTACTACTACTATTTCTACTACTAATATCAAAATAAAGATTGTGACCATTATCATTAGCTATGTTTATAAACACCTGTATTATAATAATAATGTAAGTAAATGCATCTATATATGAATCTATAATAAAACCATAGAGGATGTGAGAGAAAGAAAGTGAGTGGTTGATAAGAGTTTAACAATGTCTAATATAATACACAGAAATATACACTGAGTGTACCGAACATTAGAAACACCTTCCTAATATTGAGTTGCAGCCTCAATTCAACGGGGCATGGAAAGCATTACACATGGTTGCTTGCCCATGTTGACTCCAATGCTTCCCACAGTTGTGTCAAGTTGGCTGGATGTCCTTTGGGTGGTGGACCATTCTTGATACACACGGGAAACTGTTGAGCGTGAAAAACCCAGCAGCGTTGCAGTTCTTGACACAAATCGGTGCGCATGGCACCTACTACCATACCCCGTTCAAAGGCACTTAGATCTTTTGTCTTGCCCATTCACCCTCTGAATGGCACATATACACGATCCATGTCTCAATTATCTCAAGGCTTAAAAATCCTAATTTAACCTGTCTCCTCTCCTTCATCTACACAGATTGAAGTGGATTTAACAAGTAATAATCAATAAGGGATCATAGCTTTCATCTGGATTCACCTGGTCAGTCTATGTCATGGAAAGAGCAGGTGTTCTTAATGGTTTGTATACTCAGTGAATTTCACAGTAGCGTCTGTTAGTGAATTAAGGTCTAAACGAGAGCAAAACATGACCAATGGGTCTCTGTAGCACCACCTACTGCTGTTGCTTTGAGTTTGATTGCTCTACATTGCGGTTGAACTTAGCCTTTTGTGTCATGACATGCTCACTTTTCTAGGGAACTGATAGCAATTCCTGACTTGGGGGATAGAAGAAGATTTATAACAAAGTCTTGCAATATCTCCCTACAAATAGTGAACAGATCAATTTGAGACATTGAATTGCATTCCAATTGTTTTCCTAATACGATGTGGTTGTTTTTCGGAATTCCAGATATTTTCATGCAATCAGATAACTTGATCAAATGTTTTTAAATATCTATATTGTTTATTATGTAGCAGATGCACATACACATGTGATGAAAGGTAGCATTATTTTGTTTGGGACCCAGGACAGCAATGTGCAGCCTATAATATAATATAGAGTAAAATATATTAATGCATTATCAAAGAACTGAACTGGCTCCTGCTGGAGAGAAAATTATAACAAAATAATAACTAATATTTGTAGCTTGTTCTATGATCATAATAGGTAGAATAGTATAGTGGTGTAGTTTTATTAACCCTATAGTGTAAAATATAGTAGGCCTGTTATGATTTGGTGTGAGAGGTTGATTGATTGATTGAGAGAGAGAGCGAGAGAGAGAGAGAGAGAGAGAGAGAGAGAGAGAGAGAGAGAGAGAGAGAGAGAGAGAGAGAGAGAGAGAGAGAGAGAGAGAGAGAGAGAGAGAGAGAGAGAGAGAGAGAGGTGACAGGGGTAGCTATAAGAATAGTTTAAAAATAATACTAAAGCAATTTTGTATTTTGTCAATGGAATATTATCCTCTGTTGTTTTTCCTCATTAAACTACTCTGTTAAATTGAGGTTTATTTTCAGAGAGCCAGGTCTTGACTAGACTGTGAATGTTATTAAAGTTGAGGACGATTGGGGTTTTCTGTAGCTAAGGTGAGATTCCGTTTATTTCTCCATGTTTGTCTTTTTTTCAACTGTTCATTGATTTCCTCAAGCTCCTTTTATTGCCTTCACTTCTTCCTCCTCTCACTGCCCATCCTCATATCCTACCGTTTGAACTTTATTGATCATTTCTCTTGGGTTGTCTCTCAAATCCCCATTAATGTAATGTGGGGCAGACTTGTTCTACATGTCTCTTCTCTTTGCAGGCCTCGTTTCTCACTCATTCTCGATTTCTTTCTTATTTTATAAAGGCGCTCTCTTAGAACCTTTCTTTGAGCTTATTAAAATGAACTGTGCCTAACAACAGTAACAAAGATCAAATCTATTAATTATTATTAAGGTTATCATATAATTATTATTGTTGTTACTTTTATTATTAGTGTAAATATATTACACATATTTACAACAAAATCAATGGTACGATTTGATAGTAATAATGACAATAATTGCATTTCTTTTTACAAAGCAATGCACTAATGAATCTGAGAGATTGTTCATACCTGAGCCACTATTTGTTATTGGATATATGCCTGGGGGTTGCTGACTAACATGTCATTGTTCTACAGCTATTGAATAAATCCTAGAGGTAGATCTGTCTGTGTGCTTAATGTTTGTGGTCAGATGTCTGTCAGGTTTTTGACTGCACACACAATCACACACACAAACACCTACCGCTGATGTCAGGAACTTTTAGAGCTGAAAAGATCAACATGGCTAAACTATATTGAGATGAAATCCTGTTTGCACATTGGCGTAGAGAATGAATAGCAGGACTGAAGACTGACATACTCCGTTTATTGGTAATGCCCCCTGCTATAGTGTTTTAATCCAAAGCTCTGCTTATTTAAAGCCATAAGAAATGTATCAGTTCCTAGTGTTTATGTGTATGTGTGTGTGTGCAGGGGTGGACTTAGTGATTTGGAGGCCCTAGGTAGAGGCCAGTCTGAGGCCCCCATGGGTGTTATAGTAAAGACGTAATTTAACTGTAAGAATGTATTACCTTTTAATGTTCCATGAACACAACCAGTCATGATGTTTTCATCTGATTGTCAAACAAATCACTTCAAAAAGTAGGTTACCTTCGCACATCCGAACAGTACACTGTGCACCCGCCAACTTTCCTTAAATTCGCATGGCTGAAACGATCTCACGGAGAAAGCATTCGAGCGAGTGAAACAGCACCCCTCTGTCTTACTATATGTAGCCCATGTATCTGATGCTGTCTGGACAAAAAGAGTATGACAGCCATACTCTTTTTGGCCAGACAGCATCAAATACATGGACTATACTCTCGAGCGGAGCATGTGTGTGTGTGTGTGTGTGTGAATGGGGAGTACAGGTTACACATTACCTACAGTGGGGGAAAAAAGTATTTAGTCAGCCACCAATTGTGCAAGTTCTCCCACTTAAAAAGATGAGAGAGGCCTGTAATTTTCATCATAGGTACACGTCAACTATGACAGACAAATTGAGAATAAAAAAATCCAGAAAATCACATTGTAGGATTTTTAATGAATTTATTTGCAAATTATGGTGGAAAATAAGTATTTGGTCACCTACAAACAAGCAAGATTTCTGGCTCTCACAGACCTGTAACTTCTTCTTTAAGAGGCTCCTCTGTCCTCCACTCGTTACCTGTATTAATGGCACCTGTTTGAACTTGTTATCAGTATAAAAGACACCTCAAACAGTCACACTCCAAACTCCACTATGGCCAAGAC